TTCATGCTACAGATGTTACAGAAAACACTAAAGATGACTTCCAGTGGAGGCTAACTAGGAGATTTCTAGTCTGATAAAACTAACTGAGAGGTGGCCAGGGTTCACCCGGCCACCTGGTGGCCTGACATACCAGACAGACCCATCCTTAGCAATCCTCAGTTTGGCTTAAAGTTATTCTTTCTTAGAATGTTCCTTTTTTGCAAAAACTACAGGTCAGTTTTCCTAATGAACTGTGTACCAAAACTGCAAATACTATGAAAGAAGAAGTTTTACCTGTCCACTATACTGGCTGCTTCCTGAAGAAGCTATACCCTAAAGAAATGAGAAAGCCATTTATATTTGTTGCACATTCTTTAACTTACGATCTGTCACAGAAAAACTCACTTTTATTTGTCTTCCATGGATTTAAGTGTCACAGGAATGCGAACACTTCCTTTATAACCATGCCGAGATCTATTGGCCTTTACAATGGCTACTGTTTAAAGAGAGCAATAAAGTTTAAATCAAAGTCAGCTTCAGGCAGGTGTGAGTAGTGCTGCTGCACTGGACTGCGTGCTCAGGGCAGCCTCCTATGTTTTACTTTCCTGAGTAGGCTGACACAGCAGAAGGTCATATATTCATCTATTCTGCCTAAACACTGTTTTGCTGTAAGCCACCCCTTTATAAAATATTTTGTTTTCCACAAAACAGAAAAAGAGAGAAAGGTGAACAATGGAAAAAACAACCCATAAATAGAAAAACAATTCTCACCTGTCCTCCATAATGTCTGCCACCTGAGAAAGATGGACCCTGAAGCAAAGGTGCCAATTATTTCTCTATCAAAAAGCTTCTTTAAGGGTTTTTGAAAGAAAGACTATTTTCTTTCTCTGTTGTACAATGAAAGATTACAGAAAGATAAACACTCAACCTATTCCTTTATGTGTTCTATGCAAATTAGGAATGGTCAGTAACATACAAATCTTCAATAATACTCATCATGAGCTATTAGGATTATATACTTAGTTTTGGGAGACTGTGTTTGGACTGAAAATCTCTTTCTCCTCTAATTCCCTCTCCAATAAATCCGACAATAGGTGTTTTCAGAGGCCAAGGATGAATTTGTTGGGGATTTCACTCCATATTAAAGGCTATATACCACTAGGCAGCATTAGGAACCCTATCCATCATCTTTCATTTTGCAAGGGCGTGGAACACCTCTTAACAACTCCTGACCTTCTCCCCTGTCCCCCTCCTGAGATATACTGCTTCTCTGATATCAACTCTGATAATGCATTTTGCTGAAGGAAGTGAGGTATTCCATAGGTTGAGGTAGAGGAGGAAAGCAATCTGCTTCCAGCCACTCTTTACTGTTAGAGCTAAGAAACCATGACAGCAGCAGAAAGCAAATGGGTCCAGAATGAGGAGGGCAGGTCAGAGGGTAGAACAAGGCCAGAACTGCATTTACTGTGATACAACAGAAGTACTGGCCCTTCATAGTTTTTGTATTGTTTCAGATCACAGATCTTTAGATATTTGATCATCTATTACCAGATTAACAGAGTTTACTCAAAACATTTTTCTTTTCAGTCAATAGAAAAGTACCAAGTTTTGATGTAGAAGCTGGGTGTTAGGATAAGGACTACACAGGAAGAGATTCTCACCTGTCCTCCGTACTGGCTGCCTCCTGAAGAAGGTAAACCCTGAACAAAAAGAATTAAATGATCTCTATATCCATGTCATAGTACTCCTTTAAACCGTGCTCCATATGAAGGAGAGATTCCTAATTTCTTTCAGTGCAAAACTGTGAGTGGACTGAACCAGACTGTGCAAAGAGGACCGAGACTCATTTGCATTTACCATGATGTATCAGAAATTACATCTCCTAAAAACTCTCCTGTGGCTTTGTATCACACATATATATACACATGTATCACATACTATATACCTAGCAACAAATTAAATAAAACACACACACAAAAAAAAAATCAATCTCCTTAAAATGTTCTTTTACATAGAGAACTCTTGGATAAAGTAGTAAACACTACAAGGGAAGAATTCTCACCTGTCCACCATGCTGGCTGCCTCCTGAGGGAGGTGAACCCTGAGTATCAACAAAAAAGGAAACTGAAACTTCTTTACACCCATTTCAGAGAATCATAGAATCATTTCTTGACACTTTTAAAAATTTTGGTCAGCTTCATGAAGTACTAATTTATTTCAGAAAGACATGACCTCTAGTCCTGCAAATTTCAGGAGCCAATTGAGTCAACCCTGTATTTCACATTCTATTTTTTCTTAGTCTTAAATAATGGTCTTCATCTGAACTTGTTTTGTTTAATCACAGTAGCACCAGAATGCTACAGAGAAAGATTTACTGAGAAGATTTTAGACTAAAATAAAGCTAGGGTAGACAGCCAGGTAGACAATGAATAAACTACAAATTTACATTGGTCCAAACTACAGAAGTGGGGTCTATTGGTACTTACTTGTCCATCATAACGGCTGCCTCCATAAGAAGATGACCCCTGGAAAAATATTGAAAATCAGTTATTTCTGAATATCTAATTCATGGAGACGAGCAGCAAAGACATCTGTATTTTGTTATTTGACTGTTTGTAATCTTGCCAGAATAAGCTCTATATTTTTGTCTTCCTTGAATTCACAATATTACTGCAGAGAATAGATCACCATAAAGTTTCTTGAAATAATAAATTGAGATAGCTCTCTGGATAATCCTTTACTTGATAAGAGTCAAATAATGGCAAAAAGAATATATCATATAAAATATTAAAAGTAAGAGCTTACATGTCCACCATACTGGCTAGGTCCAGAGGAATATGAATCCTGTAAAGAATACCAAATAAGTGAATAACCTGCTGTAGGATTTCCTGAAATCAAAACATGACCCTCCCAGGACAATAGGAGGAAGAGAGCAAGGTAAGCGTGAAGGCAGGCGAGCAGGACTTTCAGTATGCTTTAATAACTAGAGTTCAAGCCTTACAAGGTAACTTGGGGAAATACCCAAGATCCTAAGCAAGGGTGGAAGGCAAAACAACCCTACTGCTTTGTTTGTGTGACTTGTTGGGAAGGTTAAAGCAGCATTCTTTCAAGTGCTTTCTCTGCTCATTTCTGGTGAATGGCATTTCTTTATTTGGAAAGCTGAATCCTGGGCCAAAGCTAGCAGTAAAATACTGGCTACCTAACAGGACTCTGAAAACCAAACTAAGCCAGTTTACTGAAACCTCATACAAGAAGAGTTCTCTTTAAAGAAGGGAGATTGGATTTGTTTTTCTTCTTAATGGAATTAGGTCCACTAGGAATCAAAAATGCTACATTTTGATTCATTCTTTCCCCACACCTATTTTTTGTTTGAGCTTCACTATGCAAGTTTCACAAAAACAAGGGCACTGTTTGCTAAAAAAGCCATCGTGTATAATTTTAGGACATATCGAACTCAATGACAAATTTCATTTACTGAGTTTTTGCTCTTTAAACATAGTTCCCATATCAAAACTGAATTTAATTAAGTTTGTGAATAACCATCATTTTCAGAAGTGGCAAGCTGGCGCTCCTTTTGGAATGAGTGCTTACTTGGCTACTGTACTGGCTGCCTCCAGAAGAAGATGAGCCCTGGGGAAAAAAACAAAACAAAACAAAAACAACCCAGTTATTTTTCTCTAACAGAACTATTTTAAAGCAAAACTCCTTGAAGGACAGCGGTATATAAATTTCTATTTTTAACTTTTTTGCTTAAGTTTAAAATCTACTCAAAACGTAAAATCTAGCCCTCCCTACTTTGTTAATACATCTAAAATTTAGCATGTACCTGTCCACCAGAATGGCTGCCTGCAGAGCCCTTTCAGAAAGGAAACACCAGTTACTTCACTTCAAAGGATCTGACTGAAGGATAGGCAGCTTATTTCTTTCAGTTTAAAATCAGCACACTGAAGAATGACATCCCCACAAAAAGCGTTTAATATTCATTCTTGCAGAGTACTACAGACCTTTTGAGTACTCTGAGCTTCCACAGGATCTGCTAAGCTCAGAAAGAAATAAAACTGTTTTGTGTTTAGTATATAATGTTAAGCATCTATCGGAAATGTGTCCTTCATAAGGAATCTTAACTGTGTAAAATAACTTTTCAATTGCCCTGTAAAGAAGACATTAAAGACAATGTTCTGAGGTAGACTGCAACGTATAGTTGGGGGATAATGAAGATCTACATTCAGGATGCAAAAGCCATTCTCCCACGCTGAGGTACTGGGTGCATCTACGCATTAAAGTACAGATCAGGAGTGTGCCTTTGAGACAAAACTCCTGATAGTCCCGCTCACTGTAGTTTGTTTTGCATCATGAAGTGGTCTCGGAGTGAGTTAACTGGATGCCTTTCAGATTAAACTAAATTGTAGAATGATCTCTAGGGGCACACTTAATGCATTCAGGTAGTAAATGGACTTTTGGTCCATGGGATCAGACCAGAGCAAACTCTTCCTGAAACGTGTATAGTGTGGCCATCAGTTCATCAGCACTGATTGTTTCACTCTTCAGAGTGAAACAATCCTAGCAGTTGTCAGTACTTGTCGCTGTAGACACAACCACTATGTTCCCTCAATCTTGATACACAATCCCTGATTCTGAACTGCTGTCCAAAGATGGCCAAGTCAGTAAAAAACAAAAAACATCGGTCCCAATTGGAAGTTTCAAAGGAAACAAATCCCAACATCAGTAATATGAAGGATATAGAACACAGGTGGGTAAGAATATTTTCCTGACTGTAGATATATACACATTCCTCCTTCCTACAAGGAAGCACAAGACTAGTCCTATTTATCATTTAATACATTCCTCCTACACATTCCACAAGACTAGTCCTATTTATCATTTAATATTAATTTTTGTATGGTACATTTAGGTACCTGTGTCCAAGCCAGCGTTATATCAGTTAGCAGTCTGGTAATAATGCCACAGACTTCTATGCTAGATACAAAAAGACCCAAATGTTTTTTCTCCCTTTAGTTCAGTACATACAGAGCTCCAGTGACATACACGGCATGACTTTCTAACACATGATGAACAGAACTGGTCTTGGGAATGCTGTAAACAGGTCTCTCCTGCAAAAGAGTTCTTATCCATTTGAGAGGGCTAGCATCATTACATTACTGATCTATGAATACTAACCTTTCTTGCAGTAAATGATCTAAGAGGAATACAAACACATAAATCCATGTCCTTAGGGGATATTTTGACATAATTCCAAGGAAGCCAATGGAACTGACTCCCGAAGTAAATATTTATATTGTTACATACCTGAGTTTGTGCCAAACACTATTTTTCATTCAAAGACTTCTCTTTGAATGAATACTATTTCAAAGGGAAAGAGAAACTGTGAGTGCGACATGAATGCCCTGTGTGTATTTAGAATTATAACTAAGGTAGGTTACTTTCACAAGTGTATGACTTCCATTAGGTACTGACTCTTTTTAACCTCTCTAGCCGTTATATTGACAAAACAAACACAGGGCACACTTAAAAGCTGATGAACATTGCTTACGTTTGCAGAGGAATCACTTCTGACTAAGGTAGGGGATCCACTCTGTAAGGTGGGGGGAAGGGGAGAAGAAAAAAAAAAAACCGAACAATTAGCCTTTGTCTTTGATCATAAACTAAAAATGAAAAAAAAACTTTAGAATGCCTGTTCTATGGTATTTCAAAGGAAGAATATCACAGTCTGAAATTAAATTACATGTACACTTCACTTACTTTTCTTAATTTGCCAAGAGAGCATATAGTCTTTTTTGGCCTGTAAGACCGTATATCACAAAGTATAATTTTGTATCTACCCATGACTCATTGCCTAGAAAATAAGAACGCTACTCAGGGTGCAGGAATGTCCTTTACATACTACATGTTGACTGACCACATGTGATTTTCTTTAGAAAGCATGTATTACACTATTTCAAAGTCTTTAAATAATTTCATATGGACTCAAAAGCAAAATAAGAAGTGGCTCAGGGTTTTTGGTGGTTTTTTTTTTTTAATTTGGTAAACATTGATTTCTGAGACAATTTTTTATGGTTGGCAATTTTGTAGACTTGATATTATTTTAGCTTCCCTTCATGATAGATCTTTTGTCATTTAATTCTGCTATTTAATGCAATTTTTTTTTTTTTTTGAGAATTGATAAACATCTCTGTAAATACTGTATGGTAACTGAAAGTCACTGCTCAGAGAATACACCTTGCTGTATTCTCAATACAACTCAAATACAACTTTGAGGGTTCCTGGCTTATATCAGAAATAGTGTGGCCAGCAGGAGTAGGGAAGTGAGGTGAGGCACTGGTGAGGCCGCACCTCGAATACTGTGTTCAGTTTTGGGCCCCTCACTACAAGAAGGACGTCGAGGTGCTG